GACGGTGTCCACTCTTGTGGCAGGGTTTGGAGCTGGAGTATCTTTAAGCTCCCTTCAAACACACTGCCATGATGCTATGACTTGCTGGGCAGTCTGGGTTAATGCTGCCTCTGCCAGGCTGGGACTCTGCTGAGCACATCTCCCTCTGTGACCCAGGGCCAGGTCGGTGTCACCGGAGATGTGGGACCTGCAGGAGCCAGAGGACGGTTTGTAAGTCAGATCAAGTCCCTCCTCCCCTTTCAGCGAAGCATGGGCCTGGGGGGACACGTGTGTGACTGGGAGCACTGGGCAGGGTTGACTCAATGGGGCTCCTTTGCTTGTGCCCTGAACAGGGTGGGATGGGTCTTCGAGGTGCTCCTGGGCTCGATGGTCCCAAAGGAGTGAAGGTACAGTGGGGTGATGGCTCCAACCCTCCATTTCTGGGTGAAATGCCCTTTTCTGGCCTTTGCCCAAGGTCTGGTTGTGGTACAGGAGCTGGGTCAGGCCTGGGCGGGCTGGTGACCTATGGGACCTGCTATGGGACCCTTCTTGCCTGAGATCCAAAGTCAACAAGGCAAGGAAGAGGTTTTCTGGGGACAGAGCTGTTCCTCCTCCTTCCCCAGGGAGATCCAGGACCACAAGGCATGCATGGACCCGCCGGTGCTGCAGGACTAGAGGTACTGATACCTGGGGGCTTGTAGGGCTGGGAGCTGCCAAAGACTTCCCCTGTGCTTCACCTTTCCCAATGCAAACCAAAGCCAAAAGATTTATTGCCCTTTAGCTGGCCAGGCCAGGCAGTCAGGAGAAAGGGGGGGTTTTAATGCCTCACATCTTGGCACTGACTTCCCGGAGGTACTTAGATACTCCCAAAATCATTCCTGCCATCAAAGCACGTTCACTGCTCAGGTGCTGTCTGGGCATGTGCCTTGGCCAGTTGAACATGGTACAAGGGAGAGGATGGTTAAAATAGCTAAGCATGAAGCACATGGTGGTGTCAGGCTTATTCTAAATTCCCAACATCACCATAGGGACCCGCTGGAGATGATGGACCCAAGGGAGATGGTGGCAAACCTGGTCCAGTGGTAAGTACTGGCCCTGACCGTGCAAAACCTCCCTGGGAAAGAGGTTTGGTAGCACCTTGTGCTGGAGCCGCAGAGCCTGGGGCTGGGGCTGTGTCTCACCCAGGGGGTGGCCACAAAGTGAGCTCTGCTGCAGGTCCTGCTTTGCAATGGGTTTGTAACTGAGTCATTGTTCCCTCGGTGCCTGCAGAGCCAAAGCTCCATAAAGATACTTTAATACAGCTATTAAACACTGCAGAAGCGCCAACACCATTGTGCAGTTACTGCCTGGCTGTCTGCCCGAGGCAGGTCCCGGGCGTTTGGCTTCCTCCTCCTCTGCTTTCCCAAAGCAACTCTGCAGGTCTCTGTAAGGGCAGAGGAGCTGCCTTGAGATATGTTTTATGGTTGTGGCCCTGCCATGCGCAGAGCCACAGCTGTATTATTGATGCCTGCACTCCGCTGCAGGATAAATTCCATTTGCATCCATGTTTTCCCATGCTGTAGTGCTGCTCTGCCCAGGCAGGACAAGTCCTTAACATCCCTGGCAATGTTCAAGGCCAGGTTGGACACAGGGGCTTGGAGCAACCTGCTCTAGTGGAAGGTGTCCCTGCCCATGGCAGGGGGTTGGAGTTGGATGAGCTTTAAGGTCCCTTCCAACCGAAACCATTCCATGGTTTTATGATTAATTTGCACAATTACTTTGCTGTGAGAAGTTGACACATGGAATAAACCCCAGGAATAAAAGGATTTAGAGTGCTATTGTTGGGTGAAGCCCCTCAAGGTGCAGCTCCTTGGCCCCAGCTCTAGGTGGGTTTGGTCTGGGGTGCAATGGGTGCCTGGTCTGTATGTGCACTGCAGGGCACAGTGGGTGCCACGGGGCCAGTGGGTGCCCCTGGGCTCCAGGGATACACCGGGCACCAAGGAGCCAGAGGATCAGTGGGTGCCAAGGGCCAGCCAGGCCAGCAGGTAACAGTAACTCCATCTGTGCCATGGAGATGGGCTGGGGCCATCCCTGCAGGGTGGTCCTCCCTGGCACAGTGTCTCTGGGGAGAACAATCCCACTCCAGACCGTGGGGCAAGGCAGTGGCTTGTACTTGCCCTCCTGCCTTACAAATAACCCAGAGCTGATGCCAGTCTCCTGTTTTGTCCCCAAATCAACTCAGGGTCCTCTTGGGTCACCAGGTGAAGCTGGAGCCTTGGGGCTGAGCGGCATTGAGGTAAGTGCTGCCCCAGTGGATAACCCTGGAGCTTATTTGTCAGCATTGGGTTGATTCCTGGTTTCCTTCCTAGGGCCTGGCAGGTGCGAAAGGGGAGCCGGGAGAGCCGGGAATACCAGGACCAGTGGTAAGGAGCAGAATGGAGCCGTGCTAGGGCTCCTGGCACAGGCAGTGGGATGCTGGGATGTCCCTGTTGCAACAAGGTCCCACGTGGGCAGCATCTCCTGCTCCCACTGAAATATCCCTGCTCTGCTCCAGAGAGGGGCAAAAGTCTCAAATGGAGACCTCAGCTCAGAGCATCCTCCTGTGCGCACTGTGGCAAGAGCAGGCAGGGAGGCCGGAGGGGACATCCCTGCTGCAGCATCCTTATGGAGGGGTTTCCTTCTCATTTGGGTTTTTAGGGGTCTGCAGGACAAGCTGGTCCTGAAGGGTGGAAAGGTCACAAAGGAGAAAAGGTACTTCCAAAATCTTCCTCTGCAGATGGCACCTGAGGGGGACCAGCCATCAAGCATGGGATGGCCAAGCCTGAATCACCCCAAGGAGACCTAGTTTTCCCCACTGTAAGGGCAACTGCTCATCCATGCCTGGCAAACATAGGGCCCTTGGGCACCCTTTGGCTGCCTTGGCTGGTTTTGGGGTGAGGGGCTAGCAGGTCTCCCGAGTTCAGCCCTACAGGTCTGCCTCCATCCTGGCTTAGGTGCCCTTGGGGGGACACAGGGGACTTCCCTTCACTGGCCAGCTCTGCACCATGGCCTTGTTGTCCATCTGCAGGGTCCCATAGCAGCTCCTCTTCCCTGGTCCGGGATGTGGCCGGGCTGCTGGTGACCCACATTCCACATCTTTTCTTCCCCCAGGGTGATGTGGGGCGCGAAGGACAACAAGGGGTCCCTGGAGAAGCTGGCAGACGGGTAAGTGGCACCACTGTCCCCATGGAGAGCGGTGGGAGGCTGATGCTCAGAGCTCTCAGAGGTCTTGCAAAGGGATCCTAGCTTGCTGGGGGCTCAGCATCCCTGCAAGGGGAGTGAGGGGGATGCAGGAAAACCAGCTTAGTGCCTTTAATGGGCTTGAATTGCTCCTGAGGCTTTCTTGTTATTCCCAGGGCAAGCGAGGCAAGGCAGGCCACCAGCCTCCAAGAGGACCCCAGGGACACAAAGTAGGTTGGCATCGTGTAGCTGGAGGGCCCCGTGTCCCCTTCCAGCCCAAGGGGGGTCTCCCGCAGCCCCATGGGCTGCTTTCCCTGCAGGAGGCACCAGAGCATCACTCCTGCCTGCTCTCACACCAGCCAGGGTCTCTCACCATTGCATTTCAGGGCCACCCAGGCGACAAGGGGCTGGAAGGACCCCAGGGACCCCAAGGACCCTATGTGAGTATTAGCTTGGGAGGTTTTGGGGTGCCGGCTGCTCCCTGTTTACCCCCCCCCAGGTGCCACGGTGCAACCCAGCTCCACGAACAACCAAAGCAGAGACTCATTTAAAACAAGTCAAGTTTTGAGATGTTTCATCCATCCATCATCCATTCATCCATCTCTTCTTGCCTTCTCCTTCCCAGTTTCATCCCAGCTGCACTCAGTATGTGTGCAGTCAGGCAAATCACATCATTTCCAGTCATTTGCTCTAGAGGCCAAATATCTTCCTTCCAGTGAATCACAGAATCTCAGACTGGTTTGGGTTGGAAGGGACCTTAAAGTTCCAACCCCTGCCACAGGCAGGGACACCTTCCACTAGAGCAGGTTGCTCCAAGCCCTTGTGTCCACCCTGGCCTCAGAATTTCTAAATCTCAAGCTTTTAAAGATGCTTCCAAGTTCCTAAAACAGCCTGAAACTCCCGGAATCCTGGTGGCACCCTCAGCCATGGCGAGGTTGCTCCTTGCCAACGGGAGCAGCTCAGCACAGGGTGGTACCACATTGTTTCTCTCTTAGGGCATTCTGGGGCTGAAGGGCATTAAAGGAGACCCTGGACTGAAAGGACCCAAGGTAGGTGACATGTCCCAGGCACTTGAGCACCGGGCACAGCAGGGTCAGCATTTAATATGCTGGATGTTGTCACTTAGTCCTCTCTTCTTGAACCCTGATCACTGCAGAATCTTTGGGGGTTAACCACCAGGTCCCTGCGTGCTGGGACCTTTAGGCCCTCTCCCAAAGCACCTTGCACCCTCCTGGAGCTGCAAGCAGCAGCAGACAGTCTTTTAATCCCTGCTCTCAGCATGGATGCTGACACAGCACAAGCATGTACCTCCTCTGTGCCATTACCGATGGATCCAGCCTTGGCCAGAGGCCAAGTTCATCCTCACAGCCCCATCCATCAGCTGCCAGGATGTAATTCAGCGACAGGCAGGCCCTGGGGATGGGTGGTTCCTCACAGCTATCAGGAGAATGAAACCCTGCTAATAAATAAAGCTGTAAGTGCATTGAGAGCTGAATGGGGGATGGCAGAAGCTGAACTCCAGGGCAGTCAGTAAGGCCGGAGGTGGGCAGGAGGCTGCTCTGCTGGGTTCTTCCCCTGCTCCACCAGATTTCAGCACAGAAGTTTATTTTCTCACAGTGTTTTGGGGAACTTCTGAACACTGAGGTTTTTCTTGAGTGATATTTTAGTCTGGGACAAAAGACTCTCAAGACTTGCAGCTGAGCAGAAGAGGAAGATGCTCCATCACCCCCCTCCTTCCCCACTATGGGCACAGTTAATTCTACCAAATACACAGATGGGGTTGGGTTTTTCTTCATAAATTTCCCATTTTCAGCTGCTTGCTGGAGGCCAGGAGATATTTGGCCTTGGGAAATGTCCCCCTTCTGCCAGGGTCCTGCAGCTAGCAAAGCCTCCATTGGCTACCCAGTGAAGTACCACTGATTTGGTGAGAAACTAGATGATCATGATGGAGTAACTAGATCAAGGTTCTGATGCCCACCCTTGGGGCAGAGCCCCCCACTCTGGCTGGTATCCCTGTAGGGGTTTCCATCCTTCTCTCTGACACCAAAGCTCTCCCTGTCTCTCCCAGGGCGAGAAGGGTGGCACGGGTGAGCTGGGCCAGCAAGGAGACGATGGCTTCAAGGTACATGAAGGGGTTTGCTCTTTTCCTCCCTCCCCTTGGTCTCTTGTCACTCTGTGTGACAGACTGTCTCCTAGGGCAAGCTGGGGCCCCAGGGCATCCCTGGAAGGCCAGGACCCAAGGGACAGCAGGTAAGGGCAAGATGGAGGGGGACCTCCACAAGATGAGTGTTTGGGATGAATTCCTCATTTTTCCATGCCAAATCTGCCTGGGAAAGGGGCGGTGTTGTTGGAGGACATAGCGCTGGGGGATGCTCCATGCAGTGCCATGACCTCCTCTGGTGCCTTTGCAGGGTGACACTGGCCCCCCTGGCACACAGGGACACCCTGGCACCCCTGGGACACCGGTGAGTCCTTCACCCTCCCATTGGGTTTGGGGTTTGCTCCTCAACAGGGATCACATCCCACTGGGATGGGGCTTTGATCCCACTGCCCCCCACTTCCCCGAGCCTTGTCCTTCTCTTTCAGGGCTTGTCTGGACCCAAAGTAAGTACAGGGGAGTGCTTGGAGCTGGGCTCAGCCCTGCCATGGGCACCTTCCCCTCCTGCCCTGTCCCCGAGGTGTGGAGTGGCCCCATGGGGCACTCTGGGGTGCAGCTCCACACACCAGCATCTCACCCCTTGCTTCTCTTCCCAACTCCACCTCCTCCTTTGGCAGGGGCTGAAAGGCTTCCCAGGGCTGCCAGGAGCCAGGGGCACACCAGGGCTGCCAGTAAGTGGAGCCACTAACGTCCCTTATGCCAAAACTTGGGTCCCTTGCTCCCCCAGCGAGGTTCCCCAGTACTGTGGGTGCCATTGCATGGGGACAGGCAGCTGATGGCACCATCAGAGGAGCTGTGAGCATGGCGGTGGGCTCAGGGGCAGCAGCCTCTCTCACCAACATTGTCATTGTCACACAGGGTCCTGCCGGCCCCCCTGGCCCCAGCGGACCTGTGCTGATGCTGTCCAGGGACGAGCTTGGTGTGAGTGCATGGGGACAAGGACTTCCAATCCCCATGTGGGATTCCCATCCCCACTTTGATGGGTGCCAGGAGGGAGGGAAAGGGCTGACAGTGATGTTGTTCCATGTCCCACTGCTTCTAAATCCTGTGTGCACAAGGACCAAGGCCCATGCACAAAGAGCAAGCAGATATGGTTAACCCCTCTTCCACCACGCTTGTCCCCTGCATGTCCCAACTCCTTCCTGAGCTCCTGATGATGCTTCTCACCCAAATAAGAGGGAGGGACTAATACCAGCTTGGTTATATTCATATTCCTTCCTTTTCCTTTAGCAGCTAATTTATCCCTCCAACCACCTGAACTATACTGCGGTCTGGGCTCTGCTGGACACCCTGAGCCAGGAGCTCCAAGCTCTTGTGGAACATCCCAACGGCACCAAAGCCAATCCGGCAGCCACCTGCAAGGAGCTGCTGCTGGCTCACCCTCACCTGCCTGATGGTACAGGGGTGCACATGGGGGGACCCCAGATCCAGGACAGCATTAAGAGGGGTTGAGGATCTGGGGGATGAGCTCAGTTGGGTTTCATCCCTGGAGGAATGGGGTGGGAGCCAGGCTGCATCCCAAGAGGATGGAGGTTGCAGCCAGGGATATACCACAAGCTGAGGTCGGATGGCACCACGTGGCATCCTCCCCATGCCAAAACCCTGGTGCCAGGAGCTCCCCCCTGCCTCCCTCCAGGGCAATACTACATCGACCCCAACCAGGGCAGCCCCCAGGATGCACTGATGGCCTTCTGCAACTTCACAGCGGGGGGTGAGACCTGCATAGCCCCTGTCCACAACCAGGTATGGGGTGGCTGCAGCCCTGTTACCTCTTGGGGCTGGTGAGGACAGGTTGGTGGGGCTGGAGAGGGACAGCGTGGCCGGTCCCTTGCTGTGGTGACTGCTGCTGTCACAGGGAGCTGTGGGAATAGTTTGGGGTGAGGATCCTGGTCATGGTGTGTGACCAGGCTGCAGGGACAGCTATTGGTGTAGCTGGCTCTTTGTCCTGCTGGGACAGTGTGACATGGTCCCCACTCTCCCCAGGTCCCCATCAAGGCTTGGCTGAGCACTTACACCTCTGAGAACACCTTTGAGTGGTTCAGCACCCTGCCTGGGGGCTTCCTGGTGAGTACGCAGCCCCACGGGACACAAAGCCCACCTCATGGGGCTGAGGGTCTCCTAGTGCCTGTCATGCTGTGCAGTGCCCAGGCACAGGGGTTGTGCCACCTCCTTCTGCAAAGAAAACCCAAATCAGTGCTTCAGCAGATGGCTGAATCCCAGTTTTCAACTGGGGGGAGCACAGACTCCCCCATGTAGGTCCATGCAGTTCCCACTACCCCATTTCTCTCTCATTGCCCGTAGCTGGACTACACAGGGGCCAGCGCGGTGCAGCTCCGGTTCCTGCGCCTGCACAGCCACCTGGCCACACAGAAGGTCTCCTACTCCTGCAGACCGGCCTCGGAGCAGGGCCAACCGCAGCTCCAGAAGGAAATCCGCTTCCTGGCCGACTCCCGGGAGCAGAGCTATGCAGCCAGCCTGCAGGGCTGCGTGGTGAGCCCACCTTCAGACAGACCCTTTCCCAACCCAGGAGGAGCCCCTTCCCCAACATTTGCCTGTTGGCTCATATTTGCACCCCCAGGGTTTGGGGTAGGCCTGGTGGATGAGGTTTCCCATGGTGGGATGGGGATGGGGAGCATCCACTTCCTGCAGCGGGATGGGGATGGAGATGGAGAGCATCCTCTTCCTAGGACCAAGGAGCTGCATTGATCTTGGGGAGCTGGCTGTGATATGGCAGGGAATGGGGTGTCTTAAGGTGACATGGGGGAGGCCACCTCCCTGGAGAAGCTGGGGATGGAGACCTGGCCATTGGGTGCATCAAGGAGCAGACAGAGCAGCGGAGAGAGCAGCGGAGGGAACAGTGGTGCTCCATGAGGGTCCTTCAGGCCACCAGCGCAGGGTTTTGGTGCCTCTCAGCTGCCCCTGTGCTCATTTCAGATGGACAATGACTCCTCCATCACCGACACCATCTTCCACTTCG